AGAATTTGCGGTTTGGCAGGTGGCCTTCGTGGAATCCTTGGAGTTGGCTTTCGGAAAGAAATTTCCTGCCGAGAAGGGGTTAAACTGTAGCTGGATTTATAAAAGCAGTTTCATATTTTGCTTGTCTTTTTTTTCTGTGTTGTTCATGTAAATGTGTATAAATACCAATAAAATGCTGTTAATTTTTTTGTTCTTTTTTAAACAGCTCTTAATTATATTATCCCTGCCACAACTTGTGCTCACATGCAGAAACTTAAAATCCACGGTTAGCATACAAAATTAAAAGGTTGTCAAAGTACTTAAAATGATAAAAAAATTTTTTTACATGTATATCTCTGATTAGTTTTGTTCTCTGTTGCTGTTCCAACTCTGTGGCCCATAAGCAATGTGTGTTACTGTTTGTGTCGTACAATCAACCTGCAGTGGTAGGATTTATGTTACATGTGTTCTCTTGCCCTTCCCAAAAGTTGTGCATTACAGTGTATATTCTTTAGTTGTAACCTTGACCTAGATAGTCATTGGTTCTAAATATTATTTTGAAAACTTTTTTTTTTTACTTCCTTTTAATCAGGATATCGTCCGGGACAGAGTTTTCCTCAGGCCTGTACGCTCTCATGATCATGAAGGATGTTTGTAGTGACATCAAAGTTTATGGGGTGTCACCGGAAGACTACTGCAGGTAAGCGGGTCACAATTGCTGCTATCAGGAGCGATATCTGGTCAGATATTTTGTCTTGTACCTCTCTAGTGGGTCTATTTATTTTTACCTCCTACTACCAGGGGTTTAGATAATGTGCGTATGGATGTATATGTATACACTTCCCGACTTAAAAATAAAGTCAAAATACACAGCATAAAACCTCATGTACATGTAGAACATAAAATATGCAGTGATTTCTACTATAGCTATCCATAAGTTTCTGTATTTTTCATGTTTCGTCAATTAGGCCCTGTCCAACAGAGTGAAATTCGTAGCGGACGCTACTGTAACCGATTCGTTCATGTTTGTCTGCGTACAGCTTTTCCTGCCGCTCTGTACATAACCATGATAAATTTATTCAGAAAATCCAAAATCGAAAGGAAAGACCTGAAGGGAACTGTGTTGTAGACTTAAATGGACTTTTGTGTACAAAACGTGATGACCAGACTCGCCGAAGACATGATGCAGTGAACTTGATTCCTAGTCTGCAGGGACCACACTATTTTCATTGAATTTTACAGGAATGGATAGGGTTTGAGTTGCCTGAACTCTTCATTGAAAGATCTGCAATAAAATGTGAAGTTTTCTGTAAGTTTTGCTCCGCTAAACCAGGTGGCGTTTTAGAGGCTTTCCAGTACATCTGCAAGAAACCAGCTATCAGTTATGGAAAATTTGAATCTGAAACACCTTACAGAGATTGTGAGTGTGAGCGGCGCATTTGACTGCCGAGCAATGAAGTGCACCATGATTTTCTGAATGGCCACCACTGGGCATGTGCTCACGGCCGCTGGTAAACGCGGTGTCCGCGCACGGTAGCTTCACATGTGCCGCCATACAATGGCAAATACAGACTTACGCAATTTTGTCTATGATGTGATGAGTTCATGGTTATCACTAAGTGCTGTTGTTTTACTTTAAGAGAAATAAGTATTATTATATTTACTAAGGCAACAGGACAAACTCGCATAATCTTGGCAGTCAGTTCCTCCACCTCTTAGGGAGTACAGTACTCTCCCTCTCAGGAAGAAGAAGTGTACAATACAAACCAACACTCAGGGTAAAAGAGTACTGCACTGTACTCTAAGCAAGGGTGTGGGTATTGTACTCATGGCTTGAAGAAAATTATCTAAACCTCTCTACTACTAAGAAGTTGCACGTTAAGCAAAATTCCCCCCCCCCAAAAAAAAAGAATAAAAATCAACCTATGTTCATTTATTTGAAAGGCAGGGTCAAAAACAAAAGTTCCAACATGTAGCTTAGCGTCACATTTCAACTTCTTTTTTAATTTGCCTGTGCAGAAGCTAAGCATTAACATAAACCATTACTTGTGATTTTGAAAGCTCTTTAAGAAAGGAACTAAAATTCCTCTCAAAAGTGTAGAAGACAAAATACATTTTGTAGACTCTTTACTTGTAATTCAAATGGCAGTTTACTTGTGAAACTGCTTGGGTAACTCCAGAAATTAAGGGTCCATTTTTTCTGTGTGCCTGTCACATCTGACATACGATTTTGTAAGTTCAGAACACATTTTCTATTTTCCAAGAGTGATGAATTAATGGAAATTATCTGCCAGACAAAAAGTAATAGTTTGAAATCGATTCCAGTGATATCTCCATGTCAAACAACAAAGGCCAGATGTAACAGGGACACAAAAAGTCACCATTTTGGACTCCTGATTTCTGGAATTACCCACATAGATTAATGTGAATGGCACATTAGCTGTATCAGTGGGATACAAAACAAAGTACACTCTACGGACCAGCTGCTGTTTAGAGCAGCTGTTTGTTTCTGTTTTCATTTCATAATGAACTCTGGTTTGTGGGTTAATTTTTATGGACATTCATTGGGAATATGTCAATAGAAGTTGTAATGTCTTAAGTCCATATACATGTACATGTAATACAATGCAAAGTTCCCTTATGAACCATATGGCCATTGCATTCAGATACCAACCACTGCAGATGTCATCAAAAACACAGAATTATGAGGGTTGCCCATTACTAAGTAATGCATAAATTTTCCAGGGTTCACTTCCTGATGGATTTTTAGCTGGCCGGAATACTCATTGGAACTGACCCACCTTGACTCTGTGTAGCAATGCACCTGCCACTGACACTTACAACAGATGGTAGATTGTTGAGGTACATGTAATAGTAGGATAGGAGGGGCTTGGAAACATTGAGTGGGCAATTTGAAACAGTCTGCTTTGCAACTTGCTGGGTTTAATAATGGGGTTTATTTTATTTACCCATTTTATTTTTAATCACCAAATCCACAAGTTGTTGAAAATTGCCCCTAAAGATGATTCTTCACCAGTTTTATGGCTACCAATTATTCAAAATACAGGGATCCAACAAGTCACTTTTTACATTTGAACAATACAGACTCCTGTCCAAAGAGAAAAATAAAAGTCTTGTTCGTATGTCAAATATACTACAGGTTGCATCCAGATAGCAAGGTACCATACAGTTACTTCAAGACGCCCACCTTGCCAGAGTGCTTGATGTATGATTACCATGAGAATATTGAGTATGGAGGACAACGATTGGCAACCGAGCGACTCGTCTTCAATGGTTGGGCAAAGACAAACAACATCAACTTCCGCAATCCAGAGTGGGAATAAACCATTTGGTGGTTAATTTTGTGACTTGAGTAATTATTGTCACATTCATAAACTAAAAAGTGCTTCTTGGAAGTATTATTGTTTCTTCCCTTTGGTTCTGAGGTGACCTGTACCTGTCCATGTTGATAGACTCATCTCACATTTAAATGTAGAGGCTGTTACTATTCTGGTTCCACACATGTGCTGAGCCTGTGTGCACAATGTGGTTTTGTGACTAACCAATAATGCATGTGCTCCTTGAGCTTTATACCATGCAACATGCACGACTGGTGCAATTTCAGTAGAGACATTTCTTTGAATTAATTTCTTGATTTACTTTGTTTAGTGAATGTAGAACCCTACTGCTATCAGACATAAAAAATGAAAAATTTTCCAACTGATTTAGATCCAAGATCTTCGCTGGTGCTGTTGTTTGACTTACAGGGTTTTAAAACCAATTTCTAAAAAACTTAAGGATCTAACTTTCTCAGTGAATTTGTAATTTTGATATCCATTGCACCTCTGAATGGGTGCAGTTTGCTTGTAGGTTCCAAAGATCAGGTTTTTCCACTGTTGCCGTCCTGAGAAAAATCTGGTTGTATTAGTAAAAAAAAGTGCTTGTGGAGCTCTGACTGACTATCAGGCACTAGTTCAATGTGTCGCATGCAAATTAATGTTATCTAGGTTTGTTGTGCTGAAATGTTTTGTTGTGCAGGTGGAGGAAATACCCATATTTTTCACTACTAACCTTGCTGCAATGTGTCTTGAGGTTACTCAGAATCATTGTTATTCAATGTTGTCGCTTTCTTGGACATTTAACAATGCAATAAAGTTTATTTAAGTTTTCCTGCCAACTTCCGAAGCTGAATGTGTTATCAGCTGACTTAATAAACTTGAGGAACTCTATTGAAAAGTGGGCATTCTGTCCTTTAAAACTCACTTCTGATTTTTTTCTGATTGATAGAATGTTAGGTCAGTAGTACCTTTGAGCATCGTTTATGTTAGTTTATCTTTAATGAGGGCCCAATTTATTTGCTCAGGGTTTGTCCCAGTAGCCCCACGTTTGTTTGCTATTTACTGCTCTCTGAAGGAAAAGAACAACAAAAATCAACTGAGTAAGAAATGGTGTCAATTTCCTCACCAAATTACAGCTTTTTCAAAATTCCAGTGCATGTAATTTTGTTAGGAAGGGAAGTGTGTTTGCTTTAGTTTAATTTAATTTGTATTTTTAATTTTCCTCAATTATTAATGACTAATTAAATTGACTTTTTTGACATTATGTTGACTTTTAAAAGTGTTTTGTTCTTTTAATAAGTGGTGTATATAATTATACACTCTTTGTGTGGAAATGTAAACAGTATTCCATGTAAACAAGTTCTTGTCGCAAGTTTGCAAAACTTGTTGAAGTGGTAATTTATTGTGAAAATGTGAGTGAATCAGAAGCCCAATGTGCTTCTTAATTTTTAATTTTCCTCAATTATTAATGACTAATATTTGCCATTATGTTGACTTTTAAAAGTGTTTTGTTCTTTTAATAAGTGGTGTATATAATTATACACTCTTTGTGTGAACATATAAACAGTATTCCATGTAAACAAGTTCTTGTCGCAAGTTTGCAAAACTTGTCGAAGTGGTAATTTATTGTGAAAATGTTAGTGAATCAGAAGCCCAATGTGCTAAGCATAATGTAGCTTCTGTGTAAATAGTATTAGCAATTTGTACTAAATCCAGCTTTGAAAAACAAACTCTTTTTTTTTGTTTTTCGTAGAAACCCGTGACAGTTGAAAAAAACTTCACCAGCAGATGATGGTTAGAATGTTATAGAAAACTTGCCAGTTTCTGTTATCTTTGAAGGGCTGTAGCCTTTTTGTTGTAAGTTTACACGAAACCTTCTGTTGGTTTACACAAAGGACTGAATTACCAAGTATTTTAGCTTTGACTTTGCTGTCTCAATTGAGGTACACATGAAACACTCGTGTAGGCTAGTTGTGTCATTTAGGTTTATCAAAGTCACTCTCAACGGTACTAATTTTTTACCAGCCTTAGATTAGGTCAAGCTTTTTTAAAACAATTATCAGGACGGAAGGCAGCAACTGTTTTCATTCCTTACATAAAGGTAAACATGTATTACATGATTTTCAAGTTGTTGAAAAATAATTTTTCAGTGATTTTTTCCTGTTATAGATGAAGGAAAAAGCTTGAAGTGATAATGAAAGTGTTGTGACTTCTTAGAAGCAGTAGCAGATTCAGAGGGTGACTGAGTAGTTGTGAATTGGTATTATTCTTAAAAATTCTAGAAAATGAATGTGAAAAAATGTTTAACAACTCTCAGATTTCACCAGAGCTGATCAGGGTTTTCAATAAGAAGACTATACGCGATATCAATGCAATATGTTGTTGTGAAAAAATGAGGTTCAGTGTTAAGTTTCATTCTCAGGAATAATCTTGCATTCCTCAATGTGATCTCCTTGGTCAATCAGTGACAATTACATGTACATCAGGCATTCAGCTTCTCAGATCAACTGATTCCCTTGTTTTTTTTTTTTTGGTTCACAATGAAGTGCAAATTGAAAAATGTTACTAAAATTGTGTACAGTTTGTGTTTTTTCTCTTAAGTTACAGTTGTATGCCTGTAAATGCAAGGTTCATTGAAAAGTTTCCGTTGTAACTCACTTTCCTGTATGTGAATGTTGCATAGAACCCAAAGAACTATCACCTTGTTTCCAAATTTCAACATTGATCACTTTGTTGTTTTTTTGCTTTTATAACATTGTCCCAGATTTTTTTTCAGTTCCACAGACAAAATCACCGGTTATTAAAAAGGTTTACAATGTCTATAACTTTATGGTTCCACTGAAATCAGTGTAATATAAATCACAATTCATAATCCCATGGTCTCATTATTGAAGTGGAAAGTGGAAACTAAGTTGACAATTCTTTGAAAGTAGGAAAGGTTATCTTTTCCAGCACAAGATGTACATGTGTATCGGTGGTATCTCTTGCAGCTAAAGTAGACTTTTATTAGACAGTGCTTAATTTGTCTTCATAGAAGTGTATATATCGAGGATATATTTTCAAAGCTGTCGTTTATTAGTAAATAAAGCAGCTGTTTTCCAACAAATCTCAATTTATCACTGTCTGGTGTTGTGCTTGTGTTGCTGTTTTTAGTACATTTTGAATCCACCCATATAGATGTTTTTGCCAAACGCATGAAGAGATTGAAATACCTCGAAGAGTCCTGCATGGGTCCCGTTTGAAAATAATACTGCAAATCAAATTTGAGCCAAATTGTAAAAGAATTTGTTGGTCAAATACTTGCTAAATTTGCATACATGTACTTGTTTGTTTCCAAGGAACAATTGCCCCTAAGTGATAGGAAATATGCTTCATTTATCAGCCTCGAGCAGAAGTATCCCTTCATTGGCTGAAAGAGCCTTATGGTCGGAAGTTTTCATTTTGTTGGTGGCGATTCAACCATAACACCTGTATTTCATAGTTGGTCGTGAACCAGCGAAGTTTAGTTCTGACCGAAGAAGCCTCCATTGCTAAGTAAAGTACACCGTCTCTGAGTCCAGCTCTAGGCTTGTTGTGTAGAAATTCTCGTATACTATTTGTATTTGACAAATTTAGATGAGTTTTTAAAAGAATAGCCGACACGATTTAAAGAGGGCGCAATATAGGCAATTCACAATAGTGTACTTCCAAGAGTTTGCAACGTGTTCACTGTTTGCCAATTATGTGTGAAATCTGTCGACCCTTTTCAAACGCGCATTGGGTCTACAGATTTTGTGCATACTGATTGGCAAATATGTCGTAAACTCTTGGAGCTGCACTATCGTGAATCGCCTGTATTAATTTTTTTAGTGACTGTCAAAGAATGTTATAGAGTATACAGTAAGTTATACAGTAAGTTCAAAGAGGGTAATATTGCTTATAAAATTCTTGTATTAGACATAATCTTCTGAGAGCGCTATCCGCGCTCCGAGCAAAACAAAACGGTTTTTTGGTACTCGCCACATGGCGCGCCACGAGATGTGCAGGTACATGTATATGCGCGTTTGACGCGGAGTACCGCACATGTATGCTGAGTACGCATAACTAATTTATTTCAGCTTGTGTAGTCATACGTATACATACACAACTCGTGCAAGAACCCCGCTTGTAACCACCTGTCTTTCTTTTGCCGGTTAGGGGTGCACTTCAGCTCGATGCAACGAACTAATTTTGCTTTTATTTCTTGATTTATTGAGGGCGCTATTCATCTTTAACGGACGGATGTTATGGGTCCAGTCCACTAATTCAAGCCCCATTGAAAACAGTGTAAA